CTTTTCTCTTGCTGCTTTTAATATTCTCTCTTTGTCTTTTGCTCTTGGAATTTTAATTATGATGTGTCTTGGTGTGGTCCTCTTTGGATTCTTTTTGTTTGGGGTTCTGTGCGCTTCCTGGACTTGTAAGTCTATTTATTTCCCCAGGTGGGGGAAGTTTTCTGTCACTATTTCTTCCAGTATTCTTTTGGTATCTTGCTCTCTCTCTTCTTCTGGGACCCCCATAATTCTGATGTTGGTTCGCTTGAAGTTGTCCCAGAGGTTTCTTACACTATCTTCAACTTTCTGGATTCTCTTATTTTCTTGCTTTTGTGGAGGAGTGGCCTCTGGCTTTTTGTGTTCCAAATCTTTGACTTGATTCTTGCGATCTTTCATTCTGTTTTTAGGACTCAGTATAAATTTTTTGTTTCAGACAATGTATTCTTTATTTCTGGTTGGTCTCTTTTCATATCCTCATAGGTCTTGTTTATTTTATCGGGCTTTTCTAGTAAATTCTTGAAAAACCTTATAAGCGTGGTTTTGAATTCTATATCCAGTCGCTTCTTGTACTCCATTTCTTTTGTTTGTGATCTGTTTCCTTGTCTCATCTCAGCATTTTCACAGCTTCCCTGAGTTGGTAGGGTGGTGTCCTATATGGTTCAGTGGGTCAGCCTCCCAGATACCTGAGGTGGACAGTCTTGGCGGAGCCCTTTGTGGGCTGTGTGTGAAGTCTTGTTGTTAAGCCTTGCTTGTTGTTGGTATCACTGGGAAGCGTTGATCACCAAGCCAACTGGCTATGAGGATCAGAAGTGTCTCAGCTAGAAGGGTTTCTGTATTCCGCTTGGATGGGGTGGAATCTTGGGGTGGCACAGACAAGCCTTGGTGAATCCCGCAAGATTGGTTGCAGATGCTTGCACCTCTCTGGTATAGGCGCAGACAAGCTTTGGATTCCTGTCTGTCCCTCCCTGGGAAAGTCCTATTTGCAGCAAACGAGAAAGCTAGTCACTGAAAGGGCTTCTGTGCTCTGCTTGGATGGGGCGGAGTCTCAGGTGGTGCAGACAAGCTTTATTCAGCCCCTCCCTACAAAGGTCTGGTTTCTGAGTCCCGCAATAATGGCCCCTGGCTTCACACACCTCCGAGAGATCTCTGCCCACTGCCTGAAAGTCTGGCCTCTCCCTGTCTGGGGCTGTCTATCAGAGCAATAGGGTGGTTCTATTTTCCTCCCTAACAAGAAAGCTAGCCACATGTTAGCTGTCTGCCCTCTCCGCGCTCCACAAGCAAGCCAGCAGCGAAGTTGGGTGGTCACCTTTTCATGCATGCAATTCACTGCACCTTCACTGTTCCTGAGGTTCAGCGTGCCTTCTCTCTCCTTCCCAGATGGTAGAGCCTCCTCTCAGCCAGACATCCGGTGCTTCAGGGTGATGTTTCCCCTGTTTTTTAGTTCTAAATTCAAATTTGTTGTGGTAGGCTGTATTCAGGAGTCTACCCTATGCCGCCATCTTGGTTTCTCCCTAGTTTCTTTTCTTTCTTTCTTTTTTCTTTCTTTTTTTTTTTTTTTTGCATGTATCTGTCCAATTATTCCAACACTATATATTAAAGAGACTTTCCCCATCAGCTCTGGCTCCTCTCTCTGCAGCGCTCCAGGGCCCAGGAGCTGCTCCACATCGCCCAGGAGCTCCTGCACACCGAGGAGACCTACGTGAGGCGGTTGCACCTGCTCGACCAGGTAGCCTCTGACGGGGGCACGTCTTGTCTACGTTCAGACCCTCCAGAAACTTATACTTCTCACTTTTAGAGCTTGTGGCCGAGGGGCAAAGGTCCTGCCTGGCCCCCTTGAGGGATTTTACTCCTTATTCCTGGCAGTCTCATCACATGAGCATGTGCACGGCTCCTGGACATCTTTCTGAATAAACAGTGGGACTGTGGGTGGCGCTTTCTCTGTCCATGTGACAACATGGGATTGATGAGCCAGGCAGTAACTCCAAAGGAAGCCAGGGTGTAACAGGTGTTGCTTCTGTTTGTGGCTCACAGTGGAGAGGGAAGCTGGGACCTGCCATTTCCCACGGAGGTGGTTGGAGGAAGGATGGCCTGTCCCCACCTGCCTCATCCCCGCCCTTAGGGATATTGTGTAAGACCCAGGTCATTGGAGCGCGTGCGGGATGGAGGTTTACTAAGGAAAGAAGAGGCGTCAGCCTCCCCTGGACACCCCACCCGCAGAAGCGGCGTGGCAGCACCACGGTGACCTTTCAGTGACCTCTGTGTGCCCAGGTCTTCTGCGCCCAGCTGACGGCAGCAGGGGTCCCTGCGGAGGTCACCACCGGCGTCTTCTCGAACATCTCCTCCATCTACCGCTTCCACGGGCAGTTCCTCCTGCCCGCGCTGCGGACGAGGATCACGGAGGAGTGGTGAGTTCCTCACGGGCCTGGGGACTGGCCAGCCTCTCTGGGAGCTGGCTACCCGGCTGGCGGCTGACGGTCCTGGTGATGGTGTCTCGGTGCTGCTGTTTCTTAACTCTCTTTGCCAAGCGGCTTCTAAGTCTGGGCGTTTTATGTCTTAAAAAGCCAGGGCACTTGGGCTTGCTTCGCAGCCCTGACCTCGGCGACCCACGCCGCGAGGCCTCCCAGCCTTCCCTTCTTCACTGGAAAGCAAGGGGACCTGCCTGGGCTCCCGGGATTAAGTGGGGTCAGACGCTGCAAGCACCCAACCACCAGCGCACCGAGCCTTTTCCTCTGGGCGACTCTTCCTCCGGGGCGTGTTCCTTCTGCTCCCGCGGCTGCGGTCACACTCACAGGCCCGCCCGCCCGCCCGCCCGCCTGCTCTGCTCTGGGCCAGGCCCTCAGCTTCCGGCTGTGGTGTCCGCCACTCCGCTCCCCTTCGCTGCCCGCAGAGCCTCCGTGCCGGGCCCCTCCCCACCAGCACTGGCTGGACTCCGGGTCCGTGTGTCCATCTTCAGAGGGACAGGCCCCTACGGAGCAGGCGCCCAGGCCTTGGGGTCCAAGCTCAGGGCTGGGCTGGGTTCTGGCTTACCGTCCTCTGGGCAGGAGCTTTTCTCCTCCAGGCGGGAGGGCCATCCTGCCCCGCGGCTGCTGGGCGGGAGCAGTGCAGGGGCAGGGCGGCCGCCCCGGCTGGGCCTTGCTGGAGCCACGGGCACATTTCCGGCGAGGCCACGGTGGCTGGCTTTGTCTGTGTGCCTTTTTCCTTCTGTACGATGAGTTATTTAGTGCCAATCCCCCACAGCTCTAAGATCAAAGAATATTAATTTACATTGGTGCGTCTTGTGGCTTATTTCTCGCCCCTGACCCAGTCGGTGTCGGGATGCACAGTTCCGCCCCCACCCGCGCTCACCGCTGCTCAGTGGGAGGGTGCCGTGGGCCCTCGCTGCTCTCTGATGCCCAGCTCCCCATGCGGGCTGGTGTGGCCCGGCTCTGTGCCTGCCTTTGCCATCCGGCATCTGCTATTTGCTTCTTTCTCCCTGTGAGCTGGGGAAGCAGACACCGCCCCCTCCTCACCCCGTGCAGCCCCTCTCACCTGCCCCCTCACCAGTGGCCTCTCTGACGATCTCGATCTCGCTCCCCACACAGGGACTGGAACCCGCGGTTCGGGGACATCCTGCAGAAGCTGGCCCCGTTCCTCAAGATGTACGGCGAGTACGTCAAGAACTTCGACCGGGCGGTGGGGCTGGTGAACGCCTGGAGCCAGCGCTCACCCCTCTTCCGGGACGTGGTGCAGGGCATCCAGGTAGGCCTGGCATCCAGGTAGGGCCTGGCATCCAGGTAGGCCTGGCATCCAGGTAGGCCTGGCATCCAGGTAGGCCTGGCGTCCAGGTAGGCCTGGCATCCAGGTAGGCCTGGCGTCCAGGTAGGCCTGGCATCCAGGTAGGGCTTGAGAGGCAGCGAGGGGCTGGGCTCCACGTGGGACTGGGGCCAGGCAGGCCGTGGCCAGACGCGCTGTGGACGCTTTGAGTCATAAATTAACTCCCAGAGACAAACCATCCTTCCTGTGTCACCTGTCGGGGAACCGTGGCTCAGAGCCGCACGATCTGTGTCCCAGGGTGAGGGCCGGCGCAGGCGACTGGGACGATGCCACCAAGTGCTTCCCGTTTCTGCAAAGTCATGGCTGCTGCTGTCTCCGCTGTGTCGCCCTTTTCGGTGTGATTCCTGAGGTTTTTATGTTAAGAATGTTAACTGCCATCTGTCACGTGTGTTTCTAATGATTTTTCTATTGATTTAAAAATTTTTTAGCTTTTTGATGTTTTCTATACAAAATATTTGGGTTTTAATTAGCCGTATTTGCCAAAGTAATGCTTTAATAAGTCTTTAAAGTAACGCTTATAAATGCACGTCCACAGGGGGAGCCCCTCAGCCAGAAGCTGGCTCGTGGCTGGCAGTCCAGGGCGGTGGTGGGATGTCCGACTGAGGGCTCAGGCCGGTCCCTGTGGCCCCGGACTGAGCGAGGGCACAGGCCGGCTGACGGCCCCCACCCCGCACCGCCAAGTGCACACACTTTTGTGCATTGGGTCTCTAGTAATAGTAATACAGCTGTAACGGAGGAGGTCGGAACCTGTCTAACGTGCACTGGGCCGGGTGTCTGACTGGCTGTCCTGAGGAAGAAGAGAGAAAAGGCAGCACGGGCTCCCTCTCGTGCAGCTCCGCGCAGCCCGGCCTGACCACCGCCAGCCTCTGGGCTGTGGGCCAGGCCCGGGCGGTGCCGAGGGCGCCTCCTGGCGGGGGCAGCCGTCTTCGCTGCTCACTCCGCAGGTCTGCAGCCCCTGAGTGGCTGCACACGGGGGTGCGTGACCAATGTGTTGTTACAGGCAGACATGGTCCGGGTCCAGCCGGGCTGGACACAGCTTCCCACACCCTGGACAGACTGGGCCGTGGGTGGTGCGGGCAGGGGCTCCGTCCCAGGGCAGCACGGTCTGCGGCCGTCAGAGGCCTCCCAACCCAGGCCCTGAGGCATGGCACCTTCGTGGGTGAGGCTGGGGTGTTCTGGGTGCCTGGGCACAGGAACCCCCGCCCCCCGCTAGCTGAGGGCCCCTTGTAGACAGACCAGGGATGATGTGGCCTTTGGAGGGCCCCGAGGTTCCATCCGAAGCATGGCCTGAACTTTCAGAATTTTTATTTTGAAATAATTTCACATCTTAAATGGGGAACTGTTCACATTCTGTCTTGTTTACTTTGTAGTCTTTCCAACCACACACACGGGTCATTAGTTTTGAACCTTTAGACGAAGTAACAGCTGTGCAGCCACTGCGAGTCCTGCTCCCCGGCCACCTGGCACCATGCTGTCCCCTGCCCTGCAGACGCACCTGCTGCCCAGTGTGCTTCATCCTCTGGCCCACATGCCAGCCAGGACCCCGTCCCAGTCCCCGTCCCCGTCCCCATCCCATCCCCGTCCCATCCCCGTCCCTGTCCCCATCTCCATCTGTGTCTCTGTCTCCGTCTCAGCCTCGCCCCTGTCACTCCTGCAGGAGACAGCAGCCACCATCTGGGTTTGTCCGTGGGTTTTCCATGCAATGAGCACCCTGTCCTCTCTGGGGGACAATCTCCGACAGCCCACTGTTGGGGTGCTCCTGGGATTCGGGGTGCTGCCAGCCCCCAGGGAGCCGGCCTCCGAGCTCCTTTCCACATGCGAGGGTGTGGAGGGGGGGGCGGACAGCGAGGGGCAGCTCGGCACCCGTGGTTGGTCCGGGCCGGTGCTGGGGGCCAGGAGGTTATGTTGAGGGAAGAGAGTGGGAGCCTGGGGTGCCTTGCTCACCCACATGCTGTCTGTGGGGAGGAGGCAGGGGACCAGGGCTTCCCTTGGGGGGAAGCTCCTGACCTCCTGGGGGGCAGAGCTCAGTCAGGAATGTGGCGGGGACAGCACCCATGAGGGAAGGTGGGGTCTCTGTCCAGGCGCCTGTGCGAGAGCCAGCAGCGGGCCGGGCTGTCCTGGCGCCTCGGGGCCCCTGAGGGCCGCGGGGCCCAGGCCCACGGCCTGCGTCTGTCCCGCAGAAGCAGGAGGCGTGCGGGAGCCTGACGCTGCAGCACCACATGCTGGAGCCCGTGCAGAGGGTGCCCCGCTACGAGCTGCTGCTCAAGGACTATCTGAAGCGGCTGCCGGCAGACGCCCCGGACCGGCAGGACGCCGAGAGTGAGAAGCCGAGGCCGCGGCTCCTGGGCGGTGGGGAGACAGCCTCAGGGACACGGACGCCTGGGAGGGAGAGGCAGACAGGGAGGGAGGGAGCTCCAAGGGCCCCAGAAATTTTGGGAGGTGACAGAGGGTCTTTGAGAGCGAGGAGGCCTGCTGGGCAGTGAGGGGAGACCCAGCCCTGGGAGGCGCTCAGTGCCTGGGCTCAGGGGGTGCTCCTGGGGCCGGGTCACTCCTGGCCCAGCACAGCTGCCGGCACACACACAGGGCAGGGCATGCCCTGGAATGAGGTGCGAGCCCCAGGCCCCGCAAGCCAGTGTGTCTGCAGCCACACCCCTGCCCCCCAGCCAGCCAGGCCTGGAGCAGCCCCCGGGGACTGGCGGGCGGGGCAGGCCCGGGGGTGGAGGCGCGGGCGCCCTGAGCCACGCTTCCCCCTGCAGAGTCCTTGGAGCTCATCTCCACGGCCGCCAGCCACTCCAACGCCGCCATCCGCAAAACGGTGAGTGGGCGGCGACCCGGAGGGTGAGGGCCCCTCAGTGCGGGGCAGGGAGAAGTGGGGGGCAGGTGCCTTCAGCGGGCTCACACACAGCTGTCCCCGGTGGACTCCATCAGTGCACACACACACTCACACACACTCACACACACACACACACACTCTCACACACACACACACACACTCACACACACACACACGCCTGTCCCCAGTGGGCTCCATCAGTGCACACACACATTCACTCACACTCACACACAACACTCTCACACACACACACACACACACTCACACACACACACATACACACACACACACACCTGTTCCCGGTGGGCTCCATCAGTGCACACACACACTCACACACACACACTCTCTCTCTCACACACACACACACACACGCCTGTCCCCAGTGGGCTCTATCATGCACACACACACTCACACACACTCACACACACACACACACACACACACACACACGCCTGTCCCCAGTGGGCTCTATCATGCACACACAAACTCACACACACTCTCACACACACACACACACACACACACACACCTGTCCCCAGGTGGGCCCCATCAGTGCACACCCACACACACTCACACACACAACACAACACACACATTCACACACACTCTCTCACACACACACATGCACACACCTGTCCCCAGTGGGCTCCATCAGTGCACACACACTCACACACACACACACATGCCTGTCCCCAGTGGGCCCCATCAGTGAGCTCCATCAGGTGGACTCCATCATCCCTCCCAACCTACCCTCAACCTTGGCTACCAGACCTCCCCATGCTGCCCAAGCCACCAGCCGGCCCCTGGCCTCTGACCCACCCTTCTCCACTCAGATTTCCCAGGGGCACCTAATCTGTCATTCTGTGTAGAACCCTCCTGCCTGCAACTGCCTTCCCAGTGCAAGCCAGCTCTCCACACACCAGGTGTCTGCCTAGCCCATCGGTACACCCAGTGCACACCCAGCCCCAGTATACTCAGTGCACACCCAGCCCCAGTACACCCAGTGCACACCAGCCCCAGTACACCCTGTGCACACCCAGCCCCCAGTACACACCCATCCCCCAGTACACCCAGTGCACACCCAGCACCAGTACACACCCATCCCCCAGTACACCCAGTGCACACCCAGCCCCAGTACACACCCATCCCCCAGTACACCCTGTGCACACCCAGCCCCAGTACATCCAGTGCACACTCAGCTCCAGTACACCCAGTGCACACCCAGCCCCCAGTACACCCAGTCCCCAGTACACCAAGTGCACACCCAGCCCCCAGTACACACCCATCCCCCAGTACACCCAGTGCACACCCAGCACCAGTACACAGCCATCCCCCAGTACACCCAGTGCACACCCAGCCCCAGTACATCCAGTGCACACCCAGCTCCAGTACACCCAGTGCACACCCAGCCCCCAGTACACCCTGTGCACACCCAGCCCCCAGTACACCCAGTGCACACCCAGCCCCCAGTACACCCAGTGCACACCCAGCCCCAGTACACCCAGTGCACACCCAGCCCCCAGTACACCCAGTGCACACCCAGCCCCCAGTACACCCAGTGCACACCCAGCCCCAGTACACCCAGTGCACACCCAGCCCCCAGTACACCCAGTGCACACCCAGCCCCAGTACACCCAGTGTACACCCAGCCCCAGTACACCCAGTGCACACCCAGCTGCAGTACACACCCATCCCCCAGTACACCCTGTGCATACCCAGCCCCAGTACACCCAGTGTACACCCAGCCCCAGTACACCCAGTGTACACCCAGCCCCAGTACACCCAGTGTACACCCAGCCCCAGTACACCCTGTGCACACCCAGCCCCCAGTACACCCAGTGCACACCCAGCCCCCAGTACACCCAGTGCACACCCAGCCCCAGTACACCCAGTGCACACCCAGCCCCCAGTACACCCAGTGCACACCCAGCCCCAGTACACCCAGTGCACACCCAGCCCCAGTACACCCAGTGCACACCCAGCCCCCAGTACACCCAGTGCAACCCAGCCCCAGTACACCCAGTGCACACCCAGCCCCCAGTACACCCAGTGCACACCCAGCCCCAGTACACCCAGTGCACACCCAGCCCCCAGTACACCCAGTGCACACCCAGCCCCAGTAGACCCAGTGCACACCCAGCCCCCAGTACACCCAGTGCACACCCAGCCCCAGTACACCCAGTGCACACCCAGCCCCCCCATCCCCCCCCCCCAGTACACCCAGTGCACACCCAGCCCCCAGTACCCCCAGTGCACACCCAGCCCCAGTACACCCAGTGCACACCCAGCCCCAGTACACCCAGTGCACACGCAGCCCCAGTACACCCAGTGCCACACCAGCCCCAGTACCCAGTACACCCCAGCCCCAGTACACCCAGTGCACACCCAGCCCCCAGTACACCCAGTGCACACCCAGCCCCAGTACACCCAGTGCACACCCAGCCCCAGTACACCCAGTGCACACCCAGCCCCCCGTACACCCAGTGCACCCAGCCCCAGGACACCCAGTGCACACCTCAGCCCCAGTACACCCAGTGCACACCCAGCCGCAGTACCACCCATCCCCCAGTACACCCTGTGAATACCAGCCCCAGTACACCAGTGTACACGCAGCCCCAGTACACCCAGTGTACACGCAGCCCCAGTACACCCAGTGTACACCCAGCCCCAGTACACCCAGTGCACACCCAGCCCCAGTACACCAGTGCACAACCCAGCCCCAGTACACCCAGTGCACCACCCAGCCCCAGTACACCCAGTGCACATCCAGCCCCAGTACACCCAGTGCACACCCAGCCCCAGTACACCCAGTGTACACCCAGCCCCAGTACACCCAGTGCACACCCAGCCCCAGTACACCCAGTGCACACCCAGCCCCAGTACACCCAGTGCACACCCAGCCCCAGTACACCCAGTGTACACCCAGCCCCAGTACACCAGTGCACACCCAGCCCCAGTACACCAGTGCACACCCAGCCCCAGTACACCCAGTGCACACCCAGCCGCAGTACACCCAGTGCACACCCAGCCCCCAGTACACCCAGTGTACACGCAGCCCCAGTACACCCAGTGCACACCCAGCCGCAGTACACCAGTGCACACCCAGCCCCAGTACACCCAGTACACACCCAGCCGCAGTACACCAGTGCACACCCAGGGCCCGGGTCCATACAAAGCCCTTCAGCCCTCCCCTTCCTGTCCTCCTCGCTCTCAATGCCAGTTCCCTTCTTGTCCCCCCACCCACATGGACCAGCTGTTTCTGGAGCAAAAGCACAAGGGCTGGCCAGCCAGTCTGCTCCGGTAGTCTCCAGGCTGCGATGACTCAGGCCCAAGGGCAGAGGCTGCTGCAGCGTGTGGGTCAGGGTCCCAAGGGTGCCGCTGCCTCCCCTGCGCTGCCCCTCCCGCCTGGCTCAGGCCCCGTGGGAGTGACAGGCCAGGCCCCGGGCCTCTTGGCTCAGAGCTGGGGCCACAGTTGCGGACTCTCCCATCGCTCCCCTGGGCACCAGCTGGTCATGCAGCCACCAGCCCGCCCTGAGGCCAGAGGGAGGTGAGCGGCAGGCGACGGCGGTCTGGGCTCTCCGTGGGCTGGGGGAGCGGGAACAAGGCCTGAGGCCCCGCAGCCTTGCAGGCCACACAGCCGGGGCCTCTGTCCTGCAGGAGAAAATGCACCAGCTCCTGGAAGTGTACGAGCAGCTGGGCGGGGAGGAGGCCGTGGTGAACCCGGCCACCGAGCTGGTCAAGGAGGGCCCCATCCAGAAGCTGTCCGCCAAGACGGGCGCCGCCCAGGATCGCCACCTCTTCTTGGTGAGCCTTTACCACCCCCCACCCCCCGTCTGCCCATCTCCCCCGCCCACCCCCCTCTCCGAGGGCCTGGCAGCAGCCCGCCCTCACGCTGTCCCTCTGGAAGTTCAACAGCTCGGTCCTCTACTGCGTGCCCAGACCGCGGCTCCTGGGCCCGAAGTTCAGTGTCCGGGAGAAGATGGACATTTCCGACCTCCAGGTGGGTGAGCCCGCCCCCCTCCCGGGAGGCACGGCAGGCTGGGGACACGCTGGCCCCGCTGTGAGCCTCTGGCCGACAGCCACCCAGGCACACGGGGCTGCCCGAGGCGGCCAGGCTGCATGCTGTGGGCTTGGCCCCTCTGCCAGGCAGGTGCTGTGGGCTCACGCTCCCAGGTGAAGGGTGGCCCAGGACCTTGGCCAGCCCCGGCCCCTGTGCGGTCAGTGCTCAGGGCCCCTGACACCTGAGGGGTGCCTGACCATCCGTGCTCGCCTCCTGCCCGCCTCTGGCCGCGGCTCCGGGCCTGGCCTGAGCTGGCGGCAGTGCGGGGCTGTGGACCGACAGGAGCGCAAACATAGCGACCAAATCAAAGTATCTGGTCCGTTCTGGAAAGAGAAGTTTTGCCCTAGTGATACAAAAAAGTTCCTACTCTGAACTTCTCTGAATCCAGGTTTAAGAAATGCCATTAAAAGTAACGACTGACTAACAACCACAGTTAGAAGAAGCCAGTTTTCTGGTGCTTCCCTGTAAAAAAAAGAAAGAGGTCAGTGTGATCGCGGGTGTTAGAGCAGCGGTCCCCCCTGGACTGCCCTGAGGTCCTGAGCAGCCCGCCCTGCCCCCGGCACTGCTCTGCCTGCGGTCCCGCCCGGGCCGCCCGCTGCCCGGAGCCAGGCGTCCTGCTGTGGCTGCGGGTTCGGGGCGGGGCGGGCGGGCAGGCAGGCTGGTGGGGAGAGGTCCTGGCCCCCCAGGGCACAGAAGGCCTCCGCGGGGAGGGCAGGACTGCAGTGCAGGCCGCGTGGGGACTGTTCCCTTCTGTCCTCGGCCCCTGCCCGCAGGTGCAGGACGCCAGCCAGCCGCCGGCCGCCCCCACCTTCACGCTCACCGGAAGGAGCCGGGCCCTGGAGCTGCGAGCCCGGTAGGCTCAGCGGTGCGGCCTTCCCTCCGTCTCTGGCCGGGAATCTCAGCCCACGACTTCTTCCCAAACCAGACCACCTTCTGCGTGTTTCTATGTGTTCACTCGTTTGTGGTTTAAACTGTAACGGAATGAGGGGAGTCCATGAGGGCTAAGCCCCCTCCCCGCCCCTCACACGCCGGCAGGGTCTCTGTGCTCACACGTGTGCATCTGCTTTTAAAGTCACCGGTGGCTGCTTCCTGCACAGCCTGTTCTGCATCTTGCCTTTTTCACTTAATTTACCAGAAATCATCTTAATCAGAGCACCTTTCCTAAAGCAGTGTAGTTCTTCACGAGGGTCACGGACTGGCTCTCTGGCAGCCCAGGCCGCGGGGTCTGGCCACAGCACCCGCCCGGGTGTGGTGCAGGGGCACTGGGTCTGCAGGTGGGCTCCGTGCCAGGCCCGTGCTTGGACTGGTGACAGCGCGTGGGTGACCCTCCCTTCTACCCAGGGCTTGGTGATAGCCCAGGAGGCATTACCTTACCTCCCCTGCAGAGGCCTCTGCATACCACCCCTGCCACACCAAGCCACACCTGACCCCACTGACCCCTGTGACCACACCTGACCCCTCTGGCCACACCTGATCCCACCTGACCCCTGTGACCACACCTGCCACACCAAGCCACAGCTGACCCCACTGACCCCTGTGACCACACCTGACCCCTCTGGCCACACCTGACCCCACCTGACCCCTCTGGCCACACCTGACCCCTCTGGCCACACCTGGGCCAGTGTCCTGGAGCCCTGCGGGCCGTCTTCTGGGCCTGAAACTGCCCGTGGAGACAGCCAGGGTGCGGCTCCGGCGGGGAAGCATCGGGCAGTTACTCGGATCCGAGGCTGACATCATAAAACCTGTTTCTGTTTCTCCGAGGACGGAAGAGGAGAAGAAAGAATGGATTCAGGTGAAGCCCCTAAAGCTTTAGAGCAGTGTTTCCCAAACTTTTGACATATGTGTACCCTTCTATAATTTTCGTAACACTGAGTACCCCTTGTACTCATGAGAACATAGAATTGGGCACAGCTAAGCATGGTGCAGTGCACATTCCCACCAAACTCTTCCCGTACCCCTGGGGGTACGCGTACCGCACTTTGGGAAACACTGCTTTAGAGGAACCAAATCGCCTAATTCTGAGCAGGGTGGCCATTCCCTGTGGGAACACAGGCTTGAGTGGCCCCAGGCAGGGCCCTGCCTCCTGCCTGGACATGGTGGAGTGGCCAAGTTCATAAGCGCCTTAGCCCACAGGAGCCTTTCAATCTGCTTGCTTGGCCCCACCCACCTCCCTGGTAAATAAAGAGACAAAAGAGCTGGCCAGCATGGCTCAGGGGTTGAACATTGATCTAGGAGCCAGGAAGTCGACCTCTGCTGCCTGCTGGCTCAGGGGGGCCACACTGCCCCTCCACGGCCTGGCAGGCAGAGCAGAACGAGGGGTGGGACTCACAGGATGGAGCCTGTGCTTCCGGGTGCCGGGCGGGGAGGCGGGCAGCACGCGGGCAGCATAGTGAGGCTGGAGGGGCCAGGCCAGCCACACACTAACTGTTAGAGACTGTGGCTTCCAAACGCTTAGGCAGGTCTCTGGGTGGGAGAGAAAGGAATTCAGAGATCAGGTGGAAATGTGATCCAGCGGGAAAGGGAGGCAGGCCTCACACCCACCGAGAGCACCCATGGCCTGGAGCACCCGGGGGAGCCCACTCTGTACTGGGCACCGGCCGGGACGGCGAAGGCCTGGCTGCTGTGGGTCAGGCCCCAGGCCTCACCTCCTCCTGCCGGGGCGCTTCCGTGCGCAGGGTGGGGGTGTGGGCGGCTCTCCGTGGCGCCGCTGAGGCCTGTGCTGCCTGCCCAGGTCATCCAGGCCACCATCTCGAAGCACAGACAGAACAGCCAGACCTTCAGGGCCTTCAGCAGCGCCTTCAGCCCGGACGGGGACCGCCCCCGGACGCCAGAGGCCCCTGTGAGTGCCAGAGCCGGGCTGTGTGGGAGGGGCCTGGGTGCTGGGCCTGGCAGCAGCCGGAGACCCAGACACCGGGTGGCACGCTTTTCTGCGGCCAAACTTCGCCTGCAGGCCGCCTGGCTGTCTTCCCACCATCTGCGCAGATCTGCCTCTGTCTGGAGAGAAAGGGGCAGGGGCAGAGTTCTCTGCAGGACCGCTGCGGGAGGAGGGAGCTGGGGGCAGGCCGCTCTCCGTGGCTGCGATGGTCAGGGGCACGTCTGGGCTGGTCCAACGCTGCCCGGCTGTGGCGTGTGCCCGGAGTCTCCACTCATGCCAACCGTGTCCGTCCCTTTCAGACCACGAGCGCCAGCTCCCAGGAGCCTGCGGTGGCCGCCGACGGCACAGGGGGTGCCGCAGGGGTGAGCGACCCCCAGCAGAGGCAGGAGGTGAGCAGGTGCCCAGTGATGACCCTGGTCTGCTGGTGGAGGGTGGGGGCCCCTGGGCCCTGCAGGGCGCCCTCCGTGCGTGGAGGGCCCAGCTGCGTCTGGAGACCTGAGCTGGCCGCCTCGGTCTACGTGTGGAGTGAGTGTGAGCCGAGGCAGCCGGCCCTGCAGGGCTCCGCCGTCCAGACGAAAGGCCATCCGTGGCTGGGAGTTCCGGCAGCAGGGCCCTGTCAGGAGGGCCTGTGGGTGCATCAGGGAAGGCTGCTTGGAGGTGACATCTGGCCGGTCTGTGGGCCCAGGAGGATGGGCCGAGGGAGGCGCGTGCCCAAGACGCCTATCCGGAGCCTGCTCGCCGTCCTCAGCCCGCGGGGCAGGCGGAGGCGCCACCAGGCTCCTTTCTGGAACGGCTGCTCACACACCCACGCGTCAGGCACCCAGCGGCCGAACAAACCACAGAGGGGCCTGCACCTCAGGGCAGCCTCCCCTACTCACTCCTGTCCTTGCCAGGGCACGTCCCCACAGCCGCCACGACCCCTGGCAGGGGCGCTGGCACGCCCTCCCCACCGGTCCTCTGCGGTGCCGACTTCCAGGGCAGGTCCGTGTGCTGCACAGGGCTGAGCCCCGGACGCGGAGCGGGGCAGCCGGCGGGCTGGGCTGCGTGTCAGCGGGACCCGACCCGAGGCAGGGGGAGAGGAGCAAGAGGCGGGTGGGTGTGGGCCCCCCAGAGAACGTTCTAGGTGGGAGGGACCCCTGCTGCTGAGTGAGCCCCTCCCCTCCATCCCAAACAGCCTGGCTGCCTCCACCCCTGCGGGCGGAGCCCGGGCTGCCCGGATGCCCCGAGGACCCTGAGGGACCCGTCCTCAGGGCGGAGCCCGGGCTGCCCGTGGGGACCTGGTGCTTCTGGGACCTTCCTCCCGCTCCCTGCTGCGTGACCAGCTGCTGAAGGGGGAGGCTGAGCGAAATGCCTGGCTTCGCCCCTCGGCCTCCGGCCTCCACACTGGCGTCCTCCAGGCGGCCTGCAGCGGCCTGAGGGGAGGGGAGGAGGTGGGGGAGAGGGGCTGGGACCCAGGAGCTGGTGCCCCTGCACTTCACTGAGAAGACGTGCCAGGCCTGGCCCTGTCGGACACCCGAACAGAAAACACGAGTGGCTCCTTGGCCAGCTGCTCAGAGAGCCTGGTCCACACAGCGTGGCTGACCAGTGAGGCCGTGCAGAGACACGGGGGGCTCCTGCCCACAGCCACGTGGTCACCAGCCTGCCACCAATCCTGCCTGACCTCCTGCGGGGAGCTGCCTGCAGGAAGTGCCTCCAGGACTGCAGCGGTGGGCAGATGCTGGGCAGCACACAACCGGCTCTGGTCGGACCGGGCCCAGCGTGTGGCCGGCTCTGCTGCCATCATTGGCCCGCGGCAAAGGACAGCAGGGCCTCCTCCCCGCCCTGCTAGCACTCTGCACCCAGAGCTGCCCCTGCTTCCAGCCAGGACGGGTCTCTGCTGGCCACCAGGGGCCATGCTGCTGGCTGCACACCCGCCCACCACCGCTTCTCTTCCCTCGGGGGGCTGGCCCTACACCCCGTCCATCCCCTTGGCGACACCCTGCTGGCCGGCTGGCCTCTCCATTCCAGCAGCCGTGCGTGCTGCCCACCAGGCCAAGCGCTGTGGTGGTGCCTTTGGACCACGTCTGGGCTCACTTCCTGGCCCTTCTTGCTCTCACCTGGAAACCAGGGGCTCTAGCCACTGCAGAGCCCCTGGGCAGCTCCGCTCCCCTTCCTTCTCTGGCTCACCCCCCCTCCTCACCGCAGGCCCCAGCATCCTGAGGGAGGTCTCTAGGGAAGGAGCCCGATGGGGGCGGGCTCAGGGTGGCTGGCGGCCAAGGCCAGAGGTGGCCTTGGGGAGGACACCTGGCTGTGGGAAGCTTAGTTGTTTTTTGCTATTGTTGTTTTGTTTTTATTTTTTTAAATCTTTATTGTTGAGAGTATTACAGATGTCCCTCTTTTTTCTCCTATTGCCCCCCTTTACCTGGTTCCCACCCCAGGCCTTCACCACCCTATTGTTTGTGTCTGTAGGTAATGTACATCTGCATATAAAATCTTTGTTTAGCCAAAACTGGTTTGGCTCAGTGGTAGATCGTCGGTCTGCGGACTGAAAGGTCCCAGGTTCGATTCCGGTCAAGGGCATGTACATTGGTTGTGGGCACATCCCCAGTAGGGGGTGTGCAAGAGGCAGCTGGTCGATGTTTCTCTCTCATCGACATTTCTAGCTCTCTATCTCTCTCTCCCTTCCTCTCTGTAAAAAAATCAATAAAATATATATGTTAAAATCTTTGTTTAATCTCTTCCTGCCCCACCCCACCCTCTACCCTTTGAGAAGCATCAGTCTGTTCTATTTCCATGCCTCTGATTCTATTTTATTCACCAGTTTATTCTATAAATAGATTTCTTATTTATTTTGATTTTTAGATTCAATTATTGATAGATAAGTATCAATATTGCCTTTTTATTGTTCATATTTTTTAAATCTTTTTCTTCTCCTTCTTCCTTTTCTTAAAGAATACCCATCCACATTTCATGTAATAGTGGTTGGTGGTGATGAACTGCTTTAGTTTTTTCTTGTCTGTGAAGCTCTTTATCTGACCCTCAATTCTAAATAGGAGCTTTGCTGGGTATAGCAATCTTGATTGTAGGTCCTTGCCATTCATCACTTTGAATATTTCTTGCCACTCCCGGCATAGTTTCTGTTGAGAAATTAGCTGACAGTCATATGGGTACTCCCTTATAGGTTCCTAACTGCTTTTCTCTTGCTGCTTGTAATATTCTTTGTCTTTAGCCCTTGGCATTTTAATTATGATGTGTCTTGGTGTGGTCCTTTTTGGATTCCTCTTGTTTGGGACTCTATGCTTTTGCCAGGTAGGGGACAGTTCCTGTCATTATTTCTTCAAATGGGTTTTCAATATCTTGCTCTCTCTCTTCTCCTTCTGGTACCTCCATAATGTGAATGTTGGTACACTTGAAGTTTTCCCAGAAGCTCCTTACATTTTCTTCAGATTTTTTAATTCTTTTTTCTTTTTGTTCTTCTGATTATATGTTTTTTGCTTTCTCATATTTCAAATTGTTGATTTCATTCTCAGAATCCTCTACTGTTGAATCCATGTACATTATTCTTTATTTCAGTCAGTGTATGCTTAATTTCTGATTGTTCCTTTTTCTTTAATTTTTTGGCATTCTCACTAAGATCCTTGAAAGTCTCACTATGTCCCTTGAAACTCTCATTAAGATCCTTGAAACCTTATAACTATAGTTTTTGAATTCTCTAGTAGTTTGCTTTCTTGCATTTCTTTTGTGACATGTTTCTTAGTCTCCACATTTTGGCTACTTCCCTGTGTTCGTTTCTATGTGTTAGGTAGAGTTGCTATGTCTCCTGGAGTTGGTAGAGTGGCCTTGTGTGGTAGGTGTCCTATAGGGCCCAGTGGCTCTGCCTCCCCAGTCACCTGAGCTGGGAACTGTAAGTGCACCCTAGTGTTGGCTGTGTGCACAGTCTTGTAGTTGAGCCTTGATGGCTGTTGGTGTCACTGGGGGGAATTGACCTTCAGGCCCATTGGCTGTGAGGACCAGCTGGGAATACAGTGGAAGAGCAGCTGTGCATGAGACACCCCTATGGAGCAGGACTTGCTTCAGTGGGGCTTTGGTGCTCACTGAGTCTGCCCCTTAAGTGTGTCGCTTGTGGATGTGTAAAGTTGTAATCTGGTGTGGCCTTAAGCTTCCCACTGGGTGCACTGGCTCTTGAATCTCCAGGGAGGTGCAAAGTCAGCCACTGCCTGGGGCCACCTGGCAGGAGCTACACAGGGATCTGAAGATGGCTGCTATTTGCTATTTGTATTGGGCTTGGAGGTGCCCAGGTGAGGCCTGGCTGTGAACCAAAGCAGGCTGGTGCTAATGCCAGGTCTTGGACCTTTTATTGATATGCCTTGGGCATGCTGTCACCAGCTGCAGCTTGTTTGAGAGATTTTAGCGAAGTCTGAAGCATGAGCAAGGACAGACGATTAATATCAAAAAGCCACTGCAAACACTGCAAATAGCTTGATGGGGCTGCAAATTGGATGGGGCAGGGTCTCAGGGAATCCCCAGGGCAGAGTGAACTGTGTGTTCCAGGCTGGTGGAGACTCAGATATGGCTGCCAGTCGCTCTGTGACACAGGAGGTCCCAGCACAGGAACAATAACCCCTGTGAGCACCCTTGTCTGGGAGAAAGCTACCCCCAAGTTCCTGCCCTGATGCCATCTCATATGTATCTGGGTCCCCCAGAGCTTTGCCCTTGTGCTGGAGCTCAGAGGAAGGGATATCTTGTCAGTTCAGTTCATGCACTATCCCTTTAAGAGGAACACCTGGGTCTTCAGCAGCCTCTGTGTCACTGAGCCTCGATCCCCATTGGTTTTTACAGTCTGAAGTTATGGGGCTTCTCTTCTCAGCTCTGGAACCTGGGGCTGGAGTCTGGGACCCCTGGCTCCTCATGGGGGCGGGGAGCTCCGCAGATATGATCTCCCTCCCAATTAAAAAAGTGGCACACGTGGGTGCTGGCCAGCTTGTTCCACACTCCCACCCTCCTCCCAGCCTCAGGTGCTTTCTTCTTTGCTTCTCTATTGTAGGACTTCCATTCAGCCCGCCTTCAGGAGGTTCTGCATGACGGTTTTCTGTATTTTAGTTGTAATTTGATGTGGTTGTGGGAGGTGGTGAGCAACCTACACTGCCATCTTAGTTGTTCTGAGAAGTGTTGGTTTTGCTTACAGTGTTTGTGATGCCCCATTCTCCCCTTAGCTGGGCCTCTGTGGGATGGAGTGAGAAGGGCCCAGGTCTGTCTGCACCCAGTGTCTGTGGAGGGGAGCTGAGCCTCGGAGGAGCCAGCCTGCCCCTGGGCACCTTATGCCAGGCTGTACAGGCGTCACATGGTGGGGCCCACAGGGGCTGGGAGGATGATGAGTGGGGACGACATAGCTGGGAAGTACAGTCAAAATTTGCACCCTGGTCTTAGTATCAGTCAGCTTGAGCTTCTGTAACAAAATACCACAGACGGTGACCTGGAGAGGCATTCATTCTCTCGGCTCTGGAGGCTGGAAGTCCGCTTGCCAGTCCCAGGGGCCGCACCGCCATGCATGTGCCATGAGGAGCGTGTGCCAAGCTCAAGGCCCCGAGAAGGACAGAGCGGATGTGAGGGCGCGTAGCCGATGCTCAGGACAGACACCCGGTCCTTGACTCGGACCTCTGCAGACAGCACCGTCTCCGGGGGCTGAGTCCCTGGCCCCAGGCAGGGCCAGCATCCCAGCATGGAGTCTGACCCCTGAGAGCCTCACTGTGTGACAGGGAGAGGGGGGCAGCCATGCCACGCTCCTGCTGCCTTCCCTTGTCTACTTCGGGGTTTCCCCTGTGGGTGCTGCCCAGCTTCACACAGCCGCCCCCATGGTGCCGGGCTGACTGCGCGCCCTGTGTCTCCCACAGCTCGAGCCCAGGAGGGGGTCCTCCAAGACCAGGAGGGACAAGGAGAAGCAGAGCTGCAGGGGCTGTGGCGAGACCTTCAACTCAATTACCAAGAGGAGGCACCACTGCAAGCTGTGTGGGGTGGTGAGCTGGGCAGTGGGGCTAGCCAGCCATTCTCACACCTCCTCCCCACCCTCCTCTCAGTCCTCCTCCCAGCCTTTTTCCCATCCCTCCTTCCAGTCCTCCTCCCAGCCCTCCTCCTAGCTCTCCTCCCAGCTCTCCTCCCATCTCTCCTCCCAGCCCTCCTCCCCATCCTCCTCTCAGTCCTCCTCCCAGTCCTCTTCCTAGCCCTCTTCCCAGCCCTCCTCCCAGCTTTCCTCCCAGCTCTCCTCCCAGCTCTCCTCTGTGACACCTCCTCCCAGCCCTCCTCCCAACCCTCCTCCCAGCTCTCCTCCCCACCCTCCTCTCAGTCCTCCTCCCAGCCTTTCTCCCAGCCCTCCTCCCCATCCTCCTCCCAGCTCTCCTCCCAGTCCTCTTCCTAGCCCTCTTCCCAGCCCTCCTCCCAGCTCTCCTCCCAGCTCTCCTCCCAGCTCTCCTTTGTGACACCTCCTCCCCACCCTCCTCCCAGCTCTCCTCCCAGCTCTCCTCCCAGCCCTCCTCCCAGCCCTCCTCCCCACCCTCCTCTCAGTCCTCCTCCCAGCCCTCCTCTCAGCCCTCCTCCCAGCCCTCCTCTCAGTCCTCCTCCCAGCCCTCCTCTCAGTCCTCCTCCCAGCCCTCCAGCTCTCCTCCCAGCCCTCCTCTCAGTCCTCCTCCCAGCCCTCCAGCTCTCCTCCCAGCCCTCCTCTCAGTCCTCCTCCCAGCCTTTCTCCCAGCCCTCCTCCCCATCCTCCTCCCAGCTCTCCTCCCAGCCCTCCTCTCAGTCCTCCTCCCAGCCCTCCTCTCAGTCCTCCTCCCAGCCCTCCTCTCAGTCCTCTTCCTAGCCCTCTTCCCAGCCCTCCTCCCAGCTCTCCTCCCAGCTCTCCTTTGTGACACCTCCTCCCCATCCTCCTCCCAGCTCTCCTCCCAGCCCTCCTCTCAGCCCTCCTCCCAGCCCTCCTCTCAGTCCTCCTCCCAGCCCTCCTCTCAGTCCTCCTCCCAGCCCTCCAGCTCTCCTCCCAGCCCTCCTCTCAGTCCTCCTCCCAGCCCTCCAGCCCTCCTCCCAGCCCTCCTCTCAGCCCTCCTCCCAGCCCTCCTCCCAGCCCTCCTCCCAGCCCTCCAGCCCTCCTCCCAGCCCTCCTCCCCATCCTCCTCTCAGCCCTCCTCCCAGCCCTCCTCTCAGCCCTCCTCCCAGCCCTCCAGCCCTCCTCCCAGCCCTCCTCTGTGATGCAGATGCCCGGGCCCCCAGCCTTGATCTCTGCCCTCCCCTGGCTTCTGGCCTCAGGCTCGCAGAGCAGCCCCCCTCACCCACTGTGTCTGTCTCTGGCTGTGGCACTTCCGGCCTCTCCCAGGGCAAGCTCTGTCTGCGGGAGGGAGGGTCACGGTCCTCTGTCTGGCAGGTCATCTGTGGGAAGTGCTCCGAGTTCAAGGCAGAGAGCGGCCGGCAGAGCCGGGTCTGTGGAGAGTGTTTCCTGACGCCCCCAGTTGCCCCCATGAGCTCCAGCCCGGGGGGGCCTGCCGAGCCCCAGGAGAGCATGGAGGTGGGTCCCTGAGCGCGAGCTGCTGCCCGCAGCCCGGCAGCCAGCTTCCCCGGACCAGGGCCGGGGGCTCCGGGGCTGCGGTGGCTGAGCAGCGGCTCTGGGAGGCGGGTCCTGCCTGTGCGCCGCTGCGGGAGCCTGGCACCCACACCGGCTGTGAGCCAGCAGCTGGGCAGACCTCAGGCAGAGGCCTCGCTGGAAGCCCAAGGCCGGGTGTGGGCGGGTCTCCTGCAGACACCTCTTCTCTGTCCTCATCTCCGCGCGAGAACCAGTCACATTGAGGGACAATTACCTCCCTCAAGACCCATTTCCAAGTACAGTCACACTGAGGGGCGGGGTGCAGCACCTGCATTTGGGGGCTCACAATTAGCGGAAGCAGATGGGAGCCAGTGGCACCTTCGTTCACGATCACCGTGACTGGAGACCTGGAGGGGAGATCTGCTGTGGCCCCAAAGCCATTGCGGGCCCGCCCTCCTCCCCAGCCGTTCTGAGGTGCCACGCCCCTGCGGCTCCCTTCAGGACAGGCCTTGTGTACGGAGTGAGGGAAGACGGAGAGAAATGGGCACTTCCCCGCTCTCTGCACTGAACCGTCTGTGGCTCTAAAGCCAGGTTCCTCTGGGGAAGCTGCTTAAGAGACTGGGGTCCCTCCCTCGATATGCAGGCGCGGCCGAGTGGGCCCGCTGTGTCTATCACAGACGTCTAACGGGATGGATATCAGAACCATGTGTAGATATCCATCTTCGTGAGCGAATATATGTGTGACTGTGTGTATGCACGCGCACATGTGTGTGTATGTGCATATCTGTTAATGTGTGTGAGTATGTATGTAAGTGTGTGCACATGTGTATGTGAGTGGGTATGTGTGTGAGCATGTGTTTGTAAGTATGCAGGTACGTGTGTATGTGTGTGACTATGTATGTGTCTGTGTATGTGTCAGTGTGTGTGTCTGTGTATATGTGTGTGCGTTGTGTGAGGAGGTATGTGTGTGTGCATGTTTGTGTGTATTGATGTGTGTGCATGTATGTGTAAGAGTGTGTATGGGTGAGTTTGCATGTGCATATTATGTGTGCATGTATGTGGGGTGCACTTGAGTGTGTGTGTGTGTGTGTGTGTGTGTGTGGTCAACCAATTCAATGCCAAGAGGAGTCCCCAAGTGGGGTTCAGTGAAGAAGGAAACGAGTGCAAACAGCCCAGTGTGACACCGCAGGACTGTAAGGCAGTGTGAGCGTGTAACCGCTCCGGATGCAGAGCTCAGCTCAGGGGCTCTGTCTCGGTGGGAAGGCCAAGTGCGCTCCCAGAACCCCGGGAGCTGCTTACGCAGACCTGGTCCCCGATTGGTCTGTCCTCAGGCAAAGGAGAACGCCAAATCCTTGCAGCCTGATTGGTCCAAAAGCCACTGTCCTCATTGGTCAGAGTAG